GGCTAGCGCGCGGGGCCGGGCACCCGGGGGCGATCTCGCGCCGAGGACTCGCGGGGGCGTCCGGGGCCCACGAGGCAGTGCCCGGAACCCAGAGTCCACGGCTGTCGGTGTGGCTGGGAACACCGCGGCGACACCGGGTGCTCGGGTGTCCCCTACAGGGCAGCCCCCGACTGGGGCCGCTTCCTGGGAGCCCTGCTCCCCAGTGGGGTAACCGAGGCCGAGGTCAGTGCACCCCGCAGCTGCAGCCCGGAGGGGAAACGCGTGCGCGCCTTGGTGTCGCCAGCGGCGGGCCGCCTTGGAGGGACAGTGCTAGTTTTGCGCCCGCGCGCTGTGGGACAGCCCCAGGGCCCCCAGCAGGACTGGCTTGGCTGGGTAGGGTTGCAACGGCGAGAGCCTTCCGGCGTCCCTCCCGACCCGGTCCCACGCGCGCCAACCGGGTGTCCAAGTTTCCTGGGCGACCCTAGGCCGGCCAGGCGAAGCCAGACCAGACCCCTGGGGTGCTAGCGGAAGTCAGGTGGCTCGCTTCTGACCCCCTGCACGCCCCTGCTTTCCCATGCCTTTTTTTTTTTTTTTTTTAAGGAAAATGTGCCCCAAAAGTTAAGAGTCCTAGGAAAAGTCCAGATTGTATATTGTCTTGGCTCTAAGGGGCACTTTGGGACCCTAGGGGCCCACACATCGCCCCCAAGGAAGCCAGACAGGCCCCTCCCCTCCTGTGGCCACTGGGCACTGGGTATGGAAGGAAAGGCAGAGGGCTTTCCCGGACACCACCCTGAGACACCCTGTCATTGCAGCAGCCGGGTCACCCTGACGTTCCTCTCCCAGGGTGGTGGAGAACTGGGAGGATCCGGAGGACCAGTCGTCTCCTTCCTTTCCACCTTCTCAGTGCCACGGCCGGAGTTAGAGGCCTGCCTCCTCCGTAAAGTGCCAGCTTGTGGCAAGTCCTGCGCCCAGCCAAGAAGTTGTCACCACAGGTAAGTGCAACGTGTGAGTGCCTGTGGCTGTTATGACTGTTCGAAGCGTCTGCTTCAGTTGCAGTAGAGACCGAGGTTTGGGGGTTAATGACCGTGTTGTAATGCAGCGTTCCATGCGCTTTCAGGGCTCGGAGAGGAGATCTGTGGGGCTGTGTTCCTGGATTCGCGTTTGCAGGTGTTTCATTTCTTTATGGCACCTTAGCTCTGTGCAATTTAAAAGGAAATAAGATGACTGTAAGAAATGCTGTTACTTACCGAGTGCCTGAGTTCTAAGACCAGCGGCTGTCTCAGCTGTCTTCACTTTGATCTGCGTGATCATCCAGTGGCTTGTGGATACCGAGGTCACCTCTAGAGCTGCCACCAGCCAGGGCAGGGGTGGCCCCCCAATGGCCACATGATAAACATTCCTGTGGTCGCCACCCGTGGGAGACCAGAGACTGCAGCCCTGACACGGTCTGCACAGCTTTGAAGCAAAAGTAAATTCACAGGGAAAAGAGAAAATGTTTTCCCGTTCTTTTCCTGTATCTTAAATATCCAGTGAGATGTGGCATTAATACTTCTTAGCTAGCTTGTGTTTGTCAGACCTGTAAACAGATTTTAAAATTACGTGTGTGTGTATGTATGTGTGTGTGTGAGAGAGAGAAAGGGAGACAGAGAGAAATTTTCCTTATTTATTTATTTATTGTTGTTGTCGTTGTTTTGAGACGGGGCCTCACTGTGTAGCCCAGGCTGGCCTTGAACTTGCAGTGATGCCTGTGAGTGCTGGGATTACAGGCATGCGCCAATATAAAAAAAAGTTATTTCTGCTTTGTCATTTTAAATGACTATATAATGTTCCACAGTGTTTAGGTTCAGTGCTGTCATTATTTCACCAGTCCATGTGTGTGTACGGATCTAGAAAATGAATTATTCCTATCACCACTTCACGCTGTTAGTGTATAAGGGAAGCTGCGGTGCCTCTTGTGCCCAGCATGAACAGACCATCACGGTCTGCTCATGACGCTGGTCCTCATGCCGGGGTGTAGAAAAGACACGGATGACGTCCTCATCATGGCACGGGGGCGGGGGGGCAGCGGGGCAGAGGAATAAGCTGTCTCCACCGGTGCATCTGCTCTTTCGGGATGGGTGACCAGGGCACTCCTTCTTGTATTATTTATGAGCACCTGTGGGTTTATGAGAAAAATGCTTTCAGTAGGCTTTTTTTTTATTTAAGGAAAATTTTACTTGGAATAAAATTTAAACACGCCGCACTTTCTGCCGCCTTTCTGTTTGCTTTGTCTCTGTGTGAGCAGGTGCCTTGTTGGTGGCCGATGGGTGGGTGGCTCTAGTAGCCAGAGTTTGTAACGTTTGCCCTAGTTCTGTTGCTTAGCTGATATAGGATGTGGCCCATGGGATTTCTGCTTTTTTTTGAGGGTCACATTCATTTCTGTGTCTGCTGGCTTCATGTGAGGTCCGTGTTTCAAGTGTTCCATACACACTGTTTAAAAATATAGTTTCTGTGTGAGAGACAGATGTTTGCTGTTATCTCAGCCTTGCTAACATACAGAGCCGGCTGTGTCACCCCTCAGGCTGTCGTCTCAGAAAAATAGGTGCAGAATTTCAATTTAGAATATGCGATTTTTGTTGTGTGTGTGTGTGCGCGTGTGTGTGTTGAGCCAGGGCCTTGCACACTCAGCACACACTGTAGCACTGAGCCCCACCCCTCGCCCCGGGATGGTCCAAGGGAACAGTCAGTGACCAAACACTCCAGGTGTCCTGGGAAGGGCTGTATGTAAAATGTGTGTCTTTCTTCCCAGGATGCCTTGCCTGGTGCTGTTCCCTTCTTATGCAGGGAAGAGCATATCATGCATTGGATTTTCCAGCCTAGGATGTAGCTAGGTCTGACTTGCTGGTTCTTTGGAGGGTATGTATGTATGTGTGTGTGTGTTCACGGCCTCTACAGCCTCATCCCTTAGCCTCTTGTAACACTGCGGTGTCCTGGAAATCTGTGCCTTTCACTAGGGGAAGCCCTCCCTCCTGCGAGGGTGGCCCCACAGGAGACCTTTGTAGTTCTGCTGTGTTTGTTTTGAGGCCCCCATAGGGTGAAAGAAAGAGTGTTTGAACACTGTCGTCTGCTGTTCTAGGAGAGGCATTAACTGTTCGTCCTGAGACCTGGATTCTGGCTCCTGAGCTACTGGCTGCTGAGTCAGAGACCTGCAGAAAGTGGAATTCCTCTCTGGGCTACCTCTGAAGAGTTGTGAAGCCCCATAGCAGTGGTCTACAGCACAGCCCCTGTCCCCGAAGGTGGCAGAGAGCAGGGACAAGCCCTGGACTGCCCCTGCGTGCGTTTCTCACCTAGGCAGACCTGGTGCCTGAGGTTTTTTTCTGTTTGTGTTTTTTTCTTTTTCTCTTGCCATGCTAGACGTTGAACCCAGGCCGCTCCCACGTGCTAGGCAAGCATACACCACCAAGTACCTCACCAGCCCTACTTTTACTTTGGAACAGGGTCTCACTGGGTAGCCCAGGCTGGCCCCAAACCTGTGATCCTTTTGCCTCAGCCTCCCAAATAGGGTTACAGGTGTGCATCACTGTGCCTGGCTGCCTGAATTGTTTCTGCTCTCACCATTTTAGGATCTTGCAAAGGCTTTGGAAAGAAACACACTCCCTCGGCCAGGGATATAGATTAGTGGCACAGCGCCTGCCTGGCAAGTGAGGCCTGAGTTCAATTTCTGCTACCAAAAGAAAAAAAAAAAAAAGAAACACACACCCTACCTCCCAAACACACTAGAAATTTTTTTTGTTATTTCCGAAAAAAAAAAAAAAAAAAAGAAACACACACCCTACCTCCCAAACACACTAGAAATTTTTTTTGTTATTTCCGAATAGGTGAAGGAGACCTCTCTACCGGTAAGAACAAAATTATTGTGAGTGCTCCTGGGTGGTTTTGAGTGTGAATGCGAACCCAGGTTTTGCTGGTGATGCACCTTGCACGTGTCCTTACCTGGTGTACCTAGCCCATGCTGCCGTTGTCCCTCCCATGGGGACCTGCTGGGATGCAGGCTGGGCGTCGTCTCCTGGGTCGTGTCTAGGTGCTGTGTGGCACCCGGTTGCTCTGCATCTGCCTTCCCCTAGCCTTTACCCACTGTGGACACGGCCAGTGCCTGAGCCTCTGCCCTGCTTGTTCTGTATGCCGAGGAGTCCTCGTCCGTGCTCAGTGAATTTGCCCAGGACTGGCAGAATTCAAATCACCAAGAGCATGTGCCCAGTGCTCAGAGCAAGTGGCACCAACAAATGCCACTTCCGCAAGAGCGTGGATTCCAACGCCGGACACCAGACTTGGCAGGGTCGGGTTGGTTAAACCTGTGTGATTTGTGATTGTGAGCGCTTAGATTGAATGGTGAGGTACTCCTGGGAGAAATTAGAGAGAGTGGTAGTTCCGTGTCCAGGATGCAGGACCCCTCTGACTGCCTTTATTCCTCTCTGTTGAAAGTGCTCTGCAAATACAGAGTGAAGATTTCTCACCCAAGCTGCTTGCTTTGTCCTCTTAGCTTAGCGGCCGCGAGAAGCTTGGCACAAGCATCATTTCAAACAGTGAGCCAGGGCCGGAACAGAGAAGGACTAATCGTCGTGGCATTTCAGGGCTTCTCGTGAGGGATTCGAGACCCGGACAGGGCTCGGCAGGAGGCGGCCCCGGGCTCTTTTGGAGCATCTGTAACAGAACAGTCTGCAGCTGCCTGATAACCACAACGAGGGGCGAGTCTCCAAGTGTCAGTGCGGCTGCTAGAGGTTGAGCTGTGCTCGTGTCTCCTCCCGCCACACACCGAGGGGTTGGTGCCAACTTCTTGTGAGTATGCAGATGTGTACTTAGCGCATGGCTCCGGGGACCAGCGACTCTCCACGCTCTCACAGCAGCTCCCTTCCGATTCCCTGTGTTTGAGGCACGGGGTATGAACAGCATTTCAGGCAGAGCTCCTCACAGGACACCCCAAGCTGCCCAGCAACCCGGTGAGCCTGCAGTAGCCCTGTTACTTCTGGTGCAAACAGACCCGTGTGTTCACAGGCGCCTCCTGCTGACTGGCTTCTGCGGAACATGTTTTGCCCAAGTGTTGGTGGTCGCCCTTTTGAAAAGCGTTACAGAATCTATCAGCAGAGACAGGCAGGGGACGCGGAGGGCCCGGCTCTCCTGCAGTGCGCAGCAAGTGTCAGAGGCACTCAGACTTGCGGGACGAGGCCTCCATCCTCCTCTTGCTTCAGAAAGCCCTCTGTTGGAGAGTCATTTCCAGAAACGAAGACCTCTCTGGCTGTCGTCTGCACGTTGTAAGAGTCGGCCGTCAGCCTCCTCCACTCTCTGCATCGAGCTGTCCTGAAAGGGGCAGAGATGTGTGCTGTTGGGGGAGGGCAGCTTTGAGAAGAGGTGTGAAGCAGAGAGCGGGGTCCCAGGGCCTAAGTGCACCCCAAGTCCACGTTCCTTGAGAGAACGCTGGCATTGGAGAACAGAGCTAGGAGAACTCACGTAGCTAGGCGTGGTAAGGATGTCTGTGATTCCACCACCCAGGGAGGCTGAGGCGGGAAGATCGCAAGTTGGAGCCCAGCCTGAGTGACTTAGTGAGGGCCTGTCTCAAAAAAAAAAAAAAAAAATAAGTTGGAGATGTAGCTGGCTCTGTACAGAGCCCTGGGTTTAGTCCCTAGTACTGAGAGAGAGAGAGAGAGAGAGAGAGGGTATGACGTGACAAGTGATGACGGAGGAGGAGCCCTGCATGCTCGGCCTGGTGCATGTGTCCAGAGCACAGAGGATTCTGCATGTGGGGAGACACTGCTGCCAGGGTGCTCGCACAACGTGGTGGAGGCAGACGGTGAGGAGAGACAGGGGCCCCCACCACAGCAGCCGCAAACCCCATTGGAGCCCCAGGAAAGAGCCAGGCAGCGTGAACCCGCGCAGCGCGTGGAGTCCTACAAGAGGAAAGTTGAGGTCCCAGCTGGGCCAGCGGTGGTGACAGGAGGGAGCCGGGAGTGGACGACCT